TCCCTTAGTTTATTTTCATGCTAGTAGTGTAGTTGTAGTGTAGTGTTAGATGCGGGAGACAATTCATGCTTGTTCTTTGATGTTCCATGCTTTTGAATGCAAGAAGCATATGCTCTAATATTGTGTTGTATATGGATTTTGAGCTTAATGAAGGATTAATGACTAGTTATGATATATTGTATCTTTCACATGTGTTTAGACAATTTATTCCTCTCCTAATAGATATTTTGTACCTCTCACATGATGTTTAGATAATGCATGTTTAACTAAGTCATCCTTATGTATTGCTTGGACTATGAGCTTAATGAAAGGTTCAATGACTTGAATTGTTATTTTATTATCTTCACATGTTGTTTAGACAATATATTCCTCTACCAATAGATGTATTGTGGCCTCACACATATTGATTGAGACAATTTGCACTTGTTGAGTCACCCTTACTAATTGAATGTCTTTTACACACACAACATTGTTGCAACACATTCATTTCCCTCATTAGTCACTTGATTATGGTTTGGAAAAGTATTGCTTGGTGGTGATCTCTACACCCTAAGACCTCTCTCTCTCTTGTTTACTTCATATTATTTTATTTAGTTGAATTCAATTTAGCTTAATCAACCAACCCAATTCTTTTTTGCAATCATTTGGTACGCTAGAGTCGAAGTTGAAATTCCAACACGTATAATCCCTTGGGACGATCCCTACTTACTCTTGCTACGTTAGTAGTGGTGTTGGTAGTAATTTTTATAAATTTAAATTTGACATAAAAGGCTTTTCTTGAACCACACATTCACTACATTTAGTTTGGCGTATTGGAACGGCCGTCGTCATTATGTATTTTGATTGCATGATTATGGGCAATTGACTTAATTCAATTGGTATTTAATGATTACATAGTTTTTGAATGATTAATACGTTGTATTATTTTTAATTATTCTTAAATTATATTCAACCCATTCTTATTCATGGTATTTGGTGGAGGCCTATCGGACATAAGAATGGAGATCATGTAATGGTGTTCAAACATTTTTCTTGAATGAACTCTTTCATAATCTATGCTTAGGGAAGACGAGTCATACTGAAAAATTAGTTAGAAGTAGGTAGGTAAATAATTCGTGCCAATCGAAGATAGGTTATAGTTAGCTAAATTCATGGAATATCTTTCTTTAAATCTGAATTAAACGAATGTTATTGAGTTTAATTCTATATGATACATAATTATTGAAATCCCAAGGTTGAACAGTTGACAATAGTATAAGGTTCGTGGTGAAGTTAATCCCTAAGTATTTCTTCTCTTTATCTCAATCATTTTATTCTGTCTATTTTCTTTTATGTTATTGAATTGCAACCAATACATAAAATCAAATCCTTTTTCTAAATTAAAATAGCAATTAATTAAAGACTTGATAAACCACCACAATCCTTGAGGTTTGACACTCTTAACATAGCCCTATCCTATAAGGATTCATTCTATTGCGAGTGGTTATTTATGATTGACACATCAATGAACATCCTAGTTAACTCATACAATAATTACATAGTCTATATATATATAGATACACACTAAAGAACTCTCACTGGACTATAGGGCGGCCTCAACTTAAATAGTAGGCAACATGCAAAACACACATATAGTGGGCAAAAGTCCCATGATCTACCAGGGCACACAACTATCCACTATATCTAGTTATGCATCCCAGGCAATATACGCTCCCTAACCACTGATCATGAGGACTCAAGCTCATATCGTGGTACATATCCATCTATAAAAAAATCCATATCATATCTAACAACATAAACTAAACTATCCGCCATAGTTTTTCAATGGCATATCATTCACATGGTTCCGTAACCTGACACAAATAGATGTGACTTAACTTATTAGCCAGTCTATTTAATAATATGCCCCCATATCCTAACAATGGTGCATTAATCCATATCATAACCAAACAAAGGTTTCCATATCCATATGAAGATGCAAGCATATATTTACATCAATTAATCCAGAAATAATCATGAAATAAATCATATAATATTCATTGCATTTATTTAAGCAATAATAACAATTTAAATAGTATGCAGTTAACTTATAGTACTAGTAATTAACCTATATCTCAATTAAATTATATATATTCCTCATTAACATGATTAAAATCATTTAAGTATTTATTTCAATTGTTAAAACAATTCAAATTAATAAACCCATCCATTACATAACTTAGAAGCTATTTAAAATTCAATATTATCCAAGTCCTCAACATATTTAAAAATATTATGCATACCAGTCCTTTATCTAGTCAATTAGAACTATTTAAAAACATCAAAATAGACCCGAACAACTCCTGGCACGAAATCCCATAAAATTCCTACACTGGACCAAACCGATCGACTGATACAACAATCGATCATTCGGTTTCTTCAAACCGATTGACCGATGTCCTCAAGTGTTCGTCCGTTTGAGCCAATTTGGTAGACCGTTACTCCAAATCGGTCAACCGGTTCTTGCGGCATATCATCTTCTTCGTCTCTGGTGACCTTTGTTCATTTCAAACTCCATTGTTAAAGGTCCTATGCCTCAATTCTACATCCCAAAGTGTCCCAACATTGAATTTAGAGTATATAAACATCATTACGTCAATTTAAAACACAAACCATACATCAAATCATGAAATAATGCAAAATCTAAACAAACCCATATACATATAATCATACACTATTTAATATGATTTTAAAATGCAAATAGGTTTATTAATTCAAGTTAAGCATCTTGGAATTGATTTAGACATGTACAGAACATGTAGTCAAAGGAGAAGAATAGAAGAAGAACTTGCCTTAAGGTTTTCAGATTGAAATCCCAAATCTCCTTCTCTAATTCTGGCAACGCTTGCGTTGCCTTCACAGCCTTCTGTTGCTTCTGGTTCAACCCACAAATAACCTCATTTGATCTTTCCTTGGTTCAGCCTTTACTCCTTGGCTAAAACCTCTCTTTATTTCTCTCTATCTCAGCCTCCTTTAATATGCACATAAAAAATAGACTTATATAACACACACACACACACACACACATATATATATACTACATATAAAACCCTACTCCTAATCCTTCCCCAACTCTATGCCATAATGACTAAGAAAAGAAAAAGGGAAATAAAATAGAAAAAGGAAAATAATATATATATATATATATATATACGCACACACTAAGCCATCAGCCAAACGTGATATATATATATATATATACACACACACACACAACTAACCATGGGTAATTATCCATACCCATCAAGACTTCTATCCAAGTAGTCCATGTTCATTACTACTTTCTAAATCTAACTCCTTTAAAGTAAAACAAAAATAAATATTTAATTCCTAATAATTAAATACACATCATTTAACAATCAAATTTCATATAAACAAATAATTACAACACATAATTAATTTAAACAAATAAATCAAATAAATACAGAAACAATTATCCACGTAAATGAATAATTAAATAAAATACAATTTAAACAATTAATTAAATCCCATTTCTATCATTTGAAAATTAGGGGTATTACACTAGGTGAATATGTAATGACCCGGTCATTTCCTTCCTTTTCTTTTTCCTCATAATTTCACAGATGGATTTTTTTTGTTGAAATTTCTTTTCTGAGTTCAGTTTCGTCGCTTAGTGTCATCTCGAGTGCTCGGAAATGGTTTCTGAGACTCTTTCATCTGGATTGACCACTTCCTTTGAGGACCGAGTCATTTCCACATTTTTCGTTTTTCGACACTATTCACTTTTCGTCCTTTTTCCTGTTTTGTCCTTTTCCCTATTTTGTCTTTTCCCCGTTTGTCACTTGGTTGACATAACCTTAGTCCTTGTGTTTGAAGTTGGTTTTGACTTCATGTATCTTTATCGTGAGTGGTTTCCACGAAAGACGTATCTTTACTTTTGCAGGAAAGTACTCTGGTTGCTCCTAGTGTCCATAGGGGCATGGATGCATAATTCTTTGAAATTAATTTATGAGGACACCAAAATGACCCGGGTTTGGTGTGATCCACATTGCATAGGACGGGTCGGGAGTGGACAAATGGGATGGAGCAAGTTCGCGCCGGATGGGCCCAGGTCCATAAAGTCATTTCAGAAGCCCATGTTATAATGAGAGAAGTCGAGTCCATCCAAAAGAGAACAAGATAGGTCCAGCTCAATGGAGGTTATAACCGTCTATAAATAAAGGGGGATTGAGAGGGAAAAGGGGTTGGAAAATCATTGGGAGTGTAAAGTTTCTCTCTCTACGATTAGGGAAAAATTCTTTGTACTTTCAATTGGCGCCGTCTATTGAAGAACAGGAAGGATTGATTGATATCATTCCAGATCGGATCGATTCAACGCATTCTGCGAGGAAGACGATTAATCTGCGAAAGCTGAATCAACATTGGTAATAATACGATCTGTCTTGACGAGTCCAGGTTCCGGTTGATTTCAGAAAATTGGCGTCCGATTCAAGCAGATCAGATCTGTGCTTGATCCGGCGGACTACGCGGTTGTGATCTGTTATGATTACTGAATCCGGCCAGTAATGAACCGAATTCGGCGAGTGTAAGTTCAGATCTGGTGTATGCGCGTTAGCGGAACTCCTATTTGATCAAGAAGCCTGCAGTTGATGACTTTGCTCCGATCTGGAATGATGATCGGAGAGGCGAACTCGAATTCTTTGGAGAACGGCCAGCAGACGAAGCTCGATGAGCTAATGAACATGATCGATGCTTTGAGGAAAGAAAATACAGAGCTACGAGCTGGAATGGAGCATTGCGAGGCTCCTGCAATTTCGAGGCCGCCTCCTGAAAGAGAGGGAGCTTTACCGTTCGAAGCTGATCGTTAAGGTGATCCAGAAGATGTCAATCGTGGTGGTCGACGTCGTGATAAAGGTATAATTGGTAATCTACCTCCGAATGTCGGCCGAGTGGAGGACCGAGAAGGATCTGTTCATCTGGAACCGCATCACAAACGGATTATGAGGGAGGAAGCACCGGCATATGAACATGGGATTGCGTCACCATGGCGGAGTGAATTTGCAGAGGATAGGTCGTTCGATCTGCCATACCGACCTTCATTAGCGATAGTTGATTACCATAGCTCAGAAAGGAGATCTGCCGATCGAGGATTTCGGTCACGATTTTCAAGAGAAAATGAAGCATTGTGTTCCTCAGCAAGGATGGTCGCATCACCGTTCACTGATGAAATTCTGAATGCGCCGAATCCGAAGAAGTTTTCCATGCCGATCTTCATTCTGTTTGACGGAATAACCGATCCGGTCGATCACATATACCATATTCAGTTGAAAATGGCTTTGAATACTAATAATGATCCTTTGATGTGCAAGTGTTTCCCTACAAGCTTGGCTGGACTAGCTCTCAATTGGTTCAAGAATCTGGCTCAAGGCTCAATCGCCAGTTTCCAGGACTTATGCGATAAGTTCATAAGCCAGTATTATGGGAATAAGCGCCTGGCTAAGGATGTATCAAGCCTTTTTACAATGAAGCAGCATGAGGATGAGCGGCTCCAAGCTTTTCTCACCCGGTTCAACCTCGTTAAAAGCATGGTAATGGAGTGTCACCCGTCAACAGCGGTCTAAGCATTTAAACTTGCAATGAACCAGGGGACGCCGTTCCACACCAGCTTGGTGGTTAATACGCCAAAGACAATGGACGAGCTGAACGAGAGAGCGGATGGTTTTATTCGCCTTGAGGAGGAAGAAGCAGCTAATTCAAGGAAGACGTCAATTATTTCGACGGAGGAGAAGTCCAAAGCCAAGATCCAGCAAAAACAAGCTCAACCGCAACGTCACCCCTCATGGAAGGCGGAGAAGAGGCCCAGGGAGGAGGAATCAGTCACTCCACTCAGAGTCACCTTATCAAGGCTATACCAAGAGAATAAAGATAAGTTTCGTCCTCCTCTGCCAATCAGGCAACCTCTTGAACAGAGGGATCAGACTAAACATTGTGCTTTCTATAGTGATTTTGGGCATCAGACTAACGAATGCAGGAACCTAAGGAGGCAGGTAGAGATGCTGATCGCAAATGGGGAGTTTGCAAGCTATGTTCAGGGTCCGGCGCAAGAGCATAACCGCCCGACTGAACAAATCAAGCGGAACCAGAGGCCGAACCAACACAACTCTCAGCTCGTCCGGATTATAAATGCAATTCATGGCCGGCTTGAACAAACGACGGAGTTAGAGGAGTTGCTCAGAATGAGGTTATGCTAGGCCCAGCTGAAAAGAAGAATTGGTAGTGTGCGTACTTTGCACCAGCATAACACGTCCACGTCGATAAAGTTTGATAAAACGGACCTGCTACGCGTTCAGATTCCTCATAAAGATCCACTAGTCGTCAGTCTGACGATTGCAGAATGCCTGGTTCAGAGAGTCCTGATTGATCCAGGAAGTAGTGTGAATGTCATGCCCAGGGTGATGTTCGACCGACTGGAGATCAAACCTGAAAAACTCAAACCCACAGGAAATCCGTTGCTCGGATTTGATGGGAAGCGAGTGGAACCCATTGGAATAGTGGAATTAACAGTATAAGCCACTGAGCGAGTTTTGACTGAAAGTTTTGTAGTAGTGGAAATTCATCCATCATATAACCTCTTGATGGGCAGAGGATGGATTCACAGAATTCAGGGCGTTCCGTCAACTTTGCATCAAGTGATGCGATGTTTGGGTCCGAATGGGACCAAGGTGATAGATATACACGGGGACCAGGTTGCGGCTAAAGAATGTTATTCAGTAACTTTGAAATCTGCTGGAAAAGGGAAAAATCCCATCCGTTCAGCCATTCCAAAATAGCAATTACAGAACCCTCCTCCCAGCAAGGATGGGGGGGAGGAGCCACCAGTTCTGACCACAGAACCCCTTCATGAAGTAAAGATTGATCATGAGAAACCAGACTGAACAACAAGGGTGGGAACCATACTCACTGAACAAGAGAGACTAGAGTTGACTAATTTCTTGATTTGGAATGCGAATGTATTCGCATGGAGCCATTCAGATATGCCAGGGATAAATCCTGCTGTATCCTGCCTTTCACTCAATGTGGATCCCAATGCAAAGCCAGTGAAGCAGAAGCAGAGAAGATTTGCTGCAGAACGAAATCAGATTATAGCTGAGGAGGTTGATTGGCTGCTTGAAGCCGGATTCATCAGAGAAGTTCAGTACCCGGCCTGGCTCTCTAACGTTGTTGTAGTGCAGAGGAAGAATGGGAAATGGAGAGTGTGCATCGACTTCACTAACCTAAATAAAGCCTGCCCAAAGGATAGTTTCCCATTACCCAGGATTGATCAAATGGTAGATGCCACCACAGGATATGAGCGGTTAACTTTCCTGGATGCTTATTCCGGTTATAACCAAATTCCTATGGACCCAGTTAATGAAGAAAAAACTTCATTTGTTACTGAACGAGGGACTTATTGCTATAAAGTCATGCCATTCGGATTAAAAAATGCTGGAGCTACTTATCAGAGGCTGATCAGTAAGATTTTTAAGGGCCAAATGGGCAGCATTGTCGAGGCTTACATTGATGATATGGTGGTCAAGAGTAAGAAGAAGAGAGATCATTTAGCGCACCTGCAAGATGTGTTCGATGTGTTGCGCCAGTATGGGATGAAGCTTAATCCGGCCAAATGTTCATTCGGTGTAAGCTTCGGTCAATTCCTGGGACATGTGGTCAATCATAGAGGAATTGAGGTCAGCCCAGCATAGGCAGAAGCCTTGATCAGGAATGCAGAGCCAAAGACAATTAAAGAGGTGCAGGCACTCACAGGCCGGATAGCCGCACTGAGCCGATTTATTTCTAAGCTTTCGGACCGCTGTAAACCTTTCTTTGATACAATTCGAGGGCACGGAAGACAAACCTGGGGGGATGAGCAACGGCAGGCGCTAACCAACCTAAAGGAGTACATGCGTAACCCTCTGGTTCTGTCTGCTCCAGAACCGAATGAGAAACTCTTTCTATATCTCGGGGTCTTCAGTGTAGCAACCAGTGCCGTTCTGATCCGTTGTAAAGAGGGCAAGCAGTTCCTGGTGTTTTATGTTAGCAAGACAATGTCTGAACCAGAGAGAAGGTACTCTAGGGCCGAACGAATGATCTTGTCGCTGGTCAATGCAAAAAGGAAGCTTAGACATTATTTTGAATCTCATTTAATCGTCGTTTTAACAACTTTCCCTTTGAGAATGATCCTGCACAAACCGGACCTGTCTGGGAGAATGACCAAGTGGGCCATTGAATTGAGTTCATTTGATATCGCGTACGAACCCAGGACGACAATCAAAGGTCAAGCGGTGGCGGATTTCCTACTTGACTGTGATGCTGAAGATACGGTGGATGATTATAGTTGTTTTTGGTGGAAGCTTTTCGTGGACGGCTCCTCAAATCAAATGGGGGCCGGGATTGGAATTCAATTGCAAACACCAGAAGGAACTACGCTGAGCCAAGCGATAAGACTAGAGTTCAACGCGACCAACGATGAGGCAGAATACGAGGCGTTGATAGCTGGGCTGAAGTTGGCTAAAGAACTCAAGATCAAGAATCTGATGGCTTATAGTGATTCACAACTAGTCATTCGATAAGTCAATGGGGACTATGGGGCTAAGGATGAGACCATGAAAGCATACCAAGCTGCGGTTCTGCGTGAGGCGAAAGCCTTTGATCAGATCAGGTTTATCCAATTGCCGAGAGAGTATAACGAAGATGCCAACCGCTTGGCTTGTGGTGCATCTAGTTCTGGAGATACTTTAGCTAGGGTCATCTCGGTCGACATACTGATCCAACCTTTCATTTTTGAGGAACTACCTAATCCGAGCACTCAGCATGTTAACGTTATACCATATGAGCCGAGCTGGATTGATCCAATCATGGCTTGCATACGTAATGGTACACTCCCCGAGCGTAAGGATGAGGCAAGAAGAATTAGGTCCAGCGCAGCAAAGTATGCCATTGTGTACAATCAGTTATATAGACGCTCCTTCTCAGGTCTATATTTGAAGTGTGCTACCCCTGCAGAAGCTAGACAGATTATGCGAACCATTCATGATGGAGTATGCGGAAATCACTCCGGAGGAAGATCTTTAGCCCACAAAGCAATGACACAGGGGTACTTCTGACCACACATGGTACGAGATGCAGAAGAATTCTCTAGAAGATGCGATAAGTGCTAGAGGTTCGGGTCATTGATACATCAACCACCTGAAGACCTGCACGTAATGGCCACCCCATGGCCTTTCGCGCAGTGGGGGATGGACGTGGTTGGCCCTTTGCCGACTGCAAGATCGCAGAATAAGTACGTTCTGCTAGCTACTGATTACTTCACCAAATGGGTAGAATCAGAGCCGTACCCTAGTGTCACCCAAACTCAAGTAAGACGCTGCATCTGGAATAATATTATCTGTCGTTTTGGCGTACCAAGGTCAATCGTGATGGACAATGGAACCAACCTCGATAGCAAACAAGTGAGAGAGTTGCTGGAAGAATATGGAATCAATCAGAAGTTAGCAGCAGTCAGTCATCCCCAGGCTAATGGTCAAGTCGAAATCACGAACAGGACAATATTTGCTTGTATCAAGAAAAAGCTGGAGAATGAAAAAGGCAAATGGTTAGATGAGCTACCGAACGTCTTGTGGGCTTACAGAACAACCCCAAGACGGCCGACTGGAGAGAGCCTATTCGCTATGGCCTATGGCACCGAGGCGGTGATACCAGTCGAGCATTTGGTTCCAACTATAAGGAGCTTGGCGTGGGATCAAGAGCAGAATGATAGAATGCTGAGGTTCAATCTTGATTTGTTGGAAGAAAAAAGGGATTTGGCTGCAGTGAGGCTTGCCTCTTATCAACAGACGCTTGTGAATAGCCATAACAAGAAGGTGAGGCACAGGGGTTTCGCTCTTGGCGATCTGGTTCTGAAAAGGAAGGTGGGAATAGTCAAAAAGATGTTCTCCCCATTGGAAGGTCCGTACAGAATAGCAGAAGTCATAGGGAAGGGGGCATACGTCCTAGAAACTATGACAGGAAGGGTAGTCAATAAGCCATGGAATGCTCCGTCTCTGAAAAGGTACTACCAGTAAAAGTAGAGTTTAGTTTCAAGCATATTGTACGTTCTAAATTGCATGCTTGCAAGTGTACGAAATTTCCATGCTTTATAAAAAAGTCTCTTCTTTGTTAAAAATTTACACTCTCCCCGTTCAGCAAGTTAGTGGCAACTGGCACTTCAAGTCGAACGCCAAACACTTGCCCAAAAATAAACATAAAAAGCCAAGTGGCAAGAGGCGTTCAAGCCGAGCACCAGACATTCAGCAAGTTAGTGGCAGCTGGCACTTCAAGCCGAATGCCAAACACTTACCCAAAAATAAACATGAAAAGCCAAGTGGCAAGAGGCGTTCAAGCCGAGTGCCAGGCATTCAGCAAGTTAGTGGCAGCTGGCACTTCAAGCCGAACGCCAAACACTTGCCCAAAAATAAACATAAAAAGAAGCCAAGTGGCAAGAGGCATTCAAGCCGAGCGCCAGGCATTCAGCAAGTTAGTGGCAGCTGGCACTTCAAGCCGAACGCCAAACACTTGCCCAAAAATAAACATAAAAAGAAGCCAAGTGGCAAGAGGCATTTAAGCCGAGCGCCAGGCATTCAGTGAGTTAGTGGCAGCTGGCACTTCAAGTCGAACGCCAAACACTTGCTCAAAAATAAACATAAAAAGCAGACAACTGGCAAGAGGCGTTCAAGCCGAGCGCCAAGCATTCAGCGAGTTAGTGGAAGCTGGCACTTCAAGCCGAACGCCAAACACTTGCTCACAAATGAGTAAGAAAAGGACAGAATGGTGACATGGCCGAACGTTAAGCACTTGTGAAAATACACTACAAAGCTGAAAATAGAAAACTCAAAGGAGGAAAGGGATGCTGAGCAAAAACATTATCATTCATAACCAAAAAGGCCTCAAGGTACGTAGTACCATACATAAAAAAAAAAAAAAAAAAAAAAAAAAAAAAAAAAAAAAAAAAAAAAAAAACTGCTACTATTAGATGTCAGTTCTGATCTTCTCCAGGCTGTGACTTGTCATTTTCGCCACCATCTTCCTCTGGACCATCGAGATCTCCTCCATTCTCACTTGCCCCATCATCCTTAGAAAGGGAGTTGAGATGAATCACCCCCTCAGCGGGCATAGGTCTGTCGGCAACAACAGAGGAAGAGGGCACGATGGTAGAAAGAGGAAGAATGTTCAGGGG